TTTAAGGTCCCTTCCAATCCAAACCATTCTGGGATTCTATGATTGATATGAAAAACACCTTCTCATAGTTCTCAGACGCTGACAAAGGCATGAACATTTTTGTTGTAAGCCAGTTGGCCTGTGGTTGTTTAAAGAATTGTATTTCAAAAGGTCAGTTTTGTTCTGATCTCTAGATGAGTTGTGATTGAGAAAAGATGGACAAATTAGCATCTAGGCTCACATTCAGGGAAATGCATGTTTCTACACCCTTAAAATGAAGCCCAAGTACCAGTCAGTGGTTCTGGGGTACATACTGAAAACTATGCATATGTTTAACTGCTTTTCTGAAAGATACCACCATTTGAAAAACCCCAACCCTCTCAGTTTTGTCTACAGTGTAGAGCTTGCTACACAGTAATGTTCACTGGCATCTCAGTTTCCATGTAATGATTTTTTCCTTTAACAGCATTATCCTGTAGCCTGGGTAAATACCATGGTGTTTGATTATAAAGGGCAGTTGAAGAACGGAGAACTGGTACTGCACAGCTGGTCATCATTTCCTGGTAAGGTTTAATATTTGGACTTTAAATGCTTGTCAGACTCAAGACTAGTCGTACCAAATAGTAGAGTATTTACTGTATGCATGTTCAATTCTCCCTATCATAATCTCTTTATTGTATTTCTTTTAATGTGGATAACTATTTAATATCTTAATCTATTTCTTGAAAGTATTGTGTATCAGGAAAGACAAGGGCAAGAGTCTGCTGGAAATATTATTGTAAAAGTGTTTTATCTGTTATGGAGTGAAAATCACATAAAAGTAGATGCATGTTTATATCTAGTTTTACTTGTTTTTAAGATGCAGTTTAAGTTTCATCTGGCTCCCTGTGCTATGCACCACAAACTACATAGATAAGCTATCTTGTATGTGACAATATTTGCATTAACAAAAAATGTGAATTAGGCTTGTTTTTTAAGCCTTCCTTCCCTGACAATTCAGATTGATTAGTGAGAGTGTCTGAAATCTCCATGTCTTCATTCTGCCCTGAGAAACCCTGTATCAACTTGGCTGTAGTGCTGAAAGAAATCTGGTTTAAAGCTCTCTCCTATTTAATTCATGCTATTTCATGTAGAGGCAGTGTGTATACTGATTTACAGAAGCTGCAGATCGTACTGGGGTATTTTGGTAAAAGAATATGTCACATTCCCTTGATTGTTACATTTATTTTGGAAAGAGAAAATCAGTTTCTCATTGGGTCATAATCCACCATCGGTGAATGTAGGAGGTATGGGTGGTTTATGCTGGAGATAGAGTGCACTGTACTAAAAAGTGTTGTGCAGCAAAACATGCTTCTGTCCATTGTATACAGTAAGCATTTGCTTACAGCATCTTTTGCCTTTCAGATTTTCTGATTTTAATCCATGCCTTGCCTATAATATTAATTGTTCTGTCTGATGTTTCAGATGAACTTGAAGAAATGTTGAACCCAATGGGAACTGTCCAGACTAACCCTTACACTGAAAATGCAACAGCTTTGCACATTAGATTTCAAGAATATGCAAAACAGCCTATTAATTACCCTCCCTTTGATAAGGTAAGGTATGACATAAAGAGCAGTCTTGCTTATGTGTAAGTAGCTATTTCTTCTTTCCTTTCAGCACTGCCTCTTCCAATCAATTCCCCACTTCCTGCCTTTTAGTTAACATACTGCAGTTTTTTAAACTTGCTCTGTGTGAGAGTTCCAGTGCTCTGACTTCAGGGTCTTCAGTTAGTATTTTGAAGACACGTACTAAAAATACACTGTACATAGTCTCTTGAGGGTCAGAAGCATAATCAGTCTCCCATATCAGTGACCTTATGAAAAGCTACGCTTATCTGCCATTCTGGAAATCTTCAAGCCGTAGTTGCCTGTGATCTATAAAGATCTGTTCTTTCTTTATATTAACATATTTTACCCACTCTTTGGGACGCTTCTTTCCTCTATGAGCTAAATCCTTTTAAGGATAAGTAGACTCTTAATATTGTATAAAAAGGGATTTCTTAGGGTCTGCTCTTCAACTAAGTTCACTGAAGTTGCCCTGCAGTTTTCTACAGCTATGGTTAAGAATGCCTAGAAAGGAAGTGAAGGTTTGGAATACACGTGGTAATGCCTGTAGTGTGGATGCTAGATAGCAAGTTGTTCACAAACCAGCAAATAAAGCTAAGTAATAAAAGAAGTGTTAAACCAGACAGCTAATGCTGCATTATAAAAACAATGTTCAACGTATACATACATTAGTCTAAATTTTGTTTTGGGGACAGTTAGTAACCATCTAGAGAAAATTGCTTGATCAAAGGGGCATTTTGGGTTTGAGGTTCATCAAAACGAAATCAAATAACAATATAGGGTTCTTGGTTTGATATTTATTTGTTTGTTTGTTTCTTCCTTGTTCTTGTATTAAAACAGCATTGGAAATGCCTTAAGAGCTAGAACAGGACTAGTTGCCTTCTTAATTACGGTTGACCAGTTGACTCTTCATACTGAACTTATTTTAATTCATTTGGTTCATTTGTAATGCTGTAAGTTTTTGCTCATTACACTAAATGTATTTCTACAGAAGAAAAAGCTGCTCTAATGTGCATATCATGGACGTGTTATGTAAAAGTTTCTTAAGTAATTGCATAGTTGTTCTAGCTCTGTTCTTCTATTTGTACCTGCAATACCAACTTTCATTATGTTAAAATGCTGGGGTGAATACAGACAAATGATTTGACTGAGTTAAGGTACCTGATGTATTGATGTTAAGGTAGTGTCTGATCTCTTCACCATCCCTTGCAACTTTGGTTTGGCTGCTGGCTTTTCTTATTTTGTGGCTTTAACCCATTCTTAAACCTGAGAAATCCTAAGCACGATAATGAATTATCCCAGAATACTGTTGCAGAGCTGGTAATAAAACATCGGAAGCATTCAACTGGGAGTATATACTACAAAACGTGTTGGGTTTTTTTTTTTTTTTTTGGGGGGGGGAGGTTGGGTGTTGACAGTTATTTTTTTCCAGTAACTTTTGCTACTTGCAATTCTCTAGAGTTATGAAACTGTTTTGCAGTATCAGTGGGAAAATCAGAGCCCCAAACTCTTTGAAAATTCATTCCATTTCTGGAGGTATACTGGAATTTACACTGAAATATACTTTCAATACTGAAAAAGAGAGTAAGATACCCAGTCTCTGACAGATTCTTTTGGTGATTCCTGTTGAATCAGGAGTAACACTGCAGCTGCTTGAACTACATCAGCTGAGAATCTGATTTTCGGAATTGTCTACATGAGACTTGCTTGGTGTGTGGCTGCTTCTCATTTTCTCAGTCATATTGCTTGTTTCTGCCAAGAAAACAGAGCATCAGATGGCAGATCTTTATTTTAAGAAACACAGTGTGCAAAAATGGATTAATCTTTTTGGTCTTCCTACCAATCCACTTGCAGTGAATAGCTGTTTGGGGCTAAATGAGCAACAGTGCCTTGACAATTGAGAAGAAAACTATTGTCTAATGCAGGAGCAATGTAGTTCAGCTGAACAAAGCTGGTAGTTCAGTTGAACAAAGCTTGGACTTGTAGAAACTTTCAGAGTTTATCTGCAAACTGAGTAACTCTAAAAAGCACAAGGAGGCAAGCATCGAGCGCAGCACTAGAACGTTGTGGTTTTTACACTGAGGGTGGCAGAGCACTGGAGCAGGCTGCCCAGGGGAGTTGTGGAGCCTCCCTCTCTGGAGACATGCACCTGGACATGTTCCTGTGTAACCTGCTCTGGGTGGCCCTGCCTTGGCAGGGGGTTGGACTGGAAGATCTCCAGAGGTCCCTTCCGACACTAATGCTTCTGTGTGATTCTATGAACATTTCCTTATCTGCTTAATTTCTATAGTATTTACTTTTCCATTGCAGTCAGATTTGTTTTGAAATCTAATGTATTTAAAAACATGTCTTTGCAGATACTTGAAAAGGCAGCTGAGATTGCAAGGAGCAGTGACAATGCTGCAATGGCGGTAAGCACCTGCTAGGGACTATTTAAAAACTAATTTTCTGGGTTTTTTTGGTTTTTATCTTCTACATCAATTTAGAAATACATCAACTGCTCAAATAATGACAGTTCTGCTGGCTCTATTTTCTTACGTAATTCACTTTGAACTGCCTTAAAATTCAGGTGTATATCCTCTTTTTCCAATATATCTTGGACTTCTTGGCTGTTTTCTGACAGGAAACACAATTGCTTTATGTATTCTATGGATTTGGCACACAACCATGATTTACATTCGATCTGAATCTGGAAAACATTCCTAGGTGGAATAAAATATTGTTGGAAAATTGCTCAGTTTTAACAAGTATGATGTTTCCAAAGAATCTCTTTTGAAAATGGTCACTGATCTAGAAGATGCTGTTTCTTAAATATGGTGGTTATATCCTCTTTTAGAGGAAGTGGATAGTACTGTCTTGAAGAGAAAGATGTTTTCACCAAGCACAGAAGATTGCAGTTTAAGATGGCGAAAAGCACAGTGACATCAACAGTAACAACTATATTTTATATAAGAATAAAGCAGTTAATTAAAATATGTGTCAGTTACAATGCCAAGTGCCTAAAGCACTTGGGAAAAGTGAAAACTCACTGCTGCTTTGGGTGCAGACAACTCAGTGGCAAATACTTGGAAATCCTCAATAGCAGCATGCCAATGTGAGAGGATTGTGACTTTCAAATGAAAAGATTAATATTCCTATACACAAGAATCACCTTATTGTCAAGACTTTGTTTATTTTGATACAGAAACAGACTGTGTACTTAGTTTTACCAAACAAGCATTGTATTTCAACTAGAGTTTCATATTCATTCCTGAAGAATTTATACTTAAGTGGCATTTTTACATGAAAATACTTAAAGTGTTTCAGCATGATACAAGGCTTAGGCATTTATCATTTCTAAAGGAGCTAAACTTAAATTCCGTATGTAGGAGATGTGTTTTTTCACCAGGCGGGATACCTGTGCAAAATGTTATTTGATGAGAGCTGGTTGTTTCTGCTACCAATTCTTCTGGACTTTCCTTTGTTTTTTTTATTTTCCATTAGTGTAAAGACCTTTGGCCTACATCTTAAAATTTGTATATATAGAAACTTCTTCAGCTTTATGAAGATAAAGTTGGCTTTGGTATTTTAAGCTTGCCATATTGTTTTTCAAAGTATGCATTAAAACTGATTTATTTCCTTCAAATACTACCTCCTTACTCAGAAGCAGCAGTTTCTTTTGTCTCACATTAATTTATGGAATCCTATTGCTGCTGATACCATTGCTTTAATTTCTGCCCTTGCACTTTGCATAAAGGCATGGCTGGGGACAGAAGGTATTAACTGAGCCAGTGTGAAGACTCAATCTGCAATCTGATTAACAGAATTGATATTAATGTCTGGAAAAGTCAAATTTAAACATACATTTATTAAATTTGCTCACTTGAAAAAGCCAGGAGAAAGCATATGCATCCTTAAATGAAAGTTCTCCATGTTAGAGTAGGAAAATAGAAATATTGCCATCTAGTGTCATTGACTCTAAAGTTTAGTTACTTCTGAAGAAATGTCTGTACTCTGAATTTCGAACATAATAGTTACAGTTCTTACATCTTAAAGAAATCTGAAAGAAAGGCATAGTAGTCAGTCCCCTGTGCTTCATGAGTTTTAGCTGATGCTCTTCCTGGTATAGGATTTCTAGTATTTGAGCTAAATTATAAGAGTCCTAGTGAATATATGAAAACATTATTTATTACGTATCTGTTTCTCATTTTCTAGGGTCGAGGTGGTAAGAAGTTTTATGTTGTGCTAAAAGAAATAATGGAAAGAGATCCTTTATCTCAACTCTGTGAAAATGAAATGGATCTTATTTGGACTTTGCGATATGACTGTCGTGAAAGTTTTCCACAATCATTGCCAAAACTGCTGCTCTCTTTAAAATGGAACAAACTTGAAGATGTTGCTCAGGTAAGGGAAAAGGCAATGATGCTGGGGAGAAATCCTGGAGTTATATCATGAGTAAATAGGGTTTCTTTCCCAAGTATAGACATTTTGGAACGGTACTGTTGTATAAACCAAAGTTCATTGTATACCTTCTGTGCCACGGACACATAAGCAAGAACTTACTATATTAAAAAAAGCAAAAAGAAAACCCGAAATGCATTTCAGAGGTTCTCTGAATGATGAGAAAAGCACAGCAGTGGATTTATACAGGCTAATTTTAAAACTTTGTGCTCAACTTTGATCTTAAATGCAAGGAATTTCACAGAATCCTTTAGGTTGCAAGGGTCCAACCCCTCTGCTCAGGCATAGTCAGCTAGAATATTACACAATTCCACAACTCAGACTGTGTAATTAAACCTCTTTGAGGCAGACAAGATTCTTTAGAGATGTGGTACAAAGCAAAGTACTCCCTTCTCATCATGTTGATTGTTCGACCAAATAGGATCTCTCTAAGGTAACTCTAAGTAATTATGAGCTTCAAGACTGGTGCTGTGACACAAGATAACATTTTCAGTAAAATTGTGTCATTTGTTTGCTCTATAGATGCACAAGGTTATTTCACTCTATAGTAAAGAAGCTGGTGGAGTTGCCTTTTTCTACATTTACCCAAATAGAATCCAACTCTTGTGACGCTTTTTGAGAGTAAGTGGAACCTTGATCTAAGAAAAATTATTTGAGCTTATAGCGAGACCATTCCTACTTGACTTAAAAGTAATAAAGTAACAGATTCCTGGGTTTGAATTGAAACTTTTTAGCCTAGGTGTGTAAAGAGGAGGCTGGACAAAACTATGAAAGTCTGGCCAGAGTTCCCGAGTGCAGTGCTCACTGTTCATCTGCTTATCCTAACAGGTTGCACGTTTAACTGATGCTCAGCTTCTTGCAGACTGCTGCACTGAGTTAGTACTTGTCTCTCCACCAGTCTCATTTAGTTTAATTTTTTTTCATTGTTGAAAACTTTGAGCATTTGCCCTAGGATTGGTATTGGTAGTACAAGTTTCTATTGTAGCTTAAGTAGTATAAATTCTGTTAAAGTCTATTCTGACTTTCACCTGTTCCAAGCTAGGTGTGACTGGAAGAAAATGAAAGCACTCCATGAAAACTTGACTTCTGTCTATTCATCACATGATTTTGTAATTATCCAGTCCATCAGAATGTTAGTTTGCCTCAAGTATCGCTGATCTTCTGTTATTCCCTTCCTACCAGCTAGATGTATGTTTTGTGAACTTCTAAAATTAAACGGAGTTTCATCCTAGCTCATTGTCTGTGCCGTGAGCACAACACTAACCAAATACAGCACCCCCACATTCCTTGTGTTCTCCTGTTCAAGAATCCTTTGTTCCTTAGTACTTCCATTATATGCTTCTGAATTTATTGTTCATTATTAAAAGTTATCTGGAAATACAAAATGTGGAAATAGAAGCAGGTATTTGTTGACTGATTAAAATAAGTGAAGAAAAAGGCGTTCTGATTGCTCACAAGGGGCTTTGAAATACAGCCTTTGGTAGTAAGGTTCTGAAGAGTTATTTGGAGTATGGATATTGGCTGACAGCTCAAAGCCCTTTAAATTTGGGAATATTGAAAAAGATGTATAAAGCATTTTATTTAAACAGATGGCTGAAAGCACATAGTCATCTAGCTTGTTACTGTGCACTTTGTGAAGGAACGTAGCATTTGTATTTGATTATCTATAGACAGTAGTGTGGTTTATATTTTAGTGGTGGATTTGACAGCAAGAATAGCCTATTTGAAAAATGAGATCATATCCTTAAACACGCCTAATGTTTTTATAATACATGTAAGTATTCCCAATGACTTACCTTTTCAGGTAAGGCAAGGCAGCCTCATGAATCTTATGAATTCCAGCATTAGCAGGACTCACCGTTTACCTTGCATTAAAATTAAATCAATATAGTACCAGCTGTATGTTGCGGTATTTGTGCTGCTACAGCACACATGCTGTGCTACTGGGAGGTTTTCTTAATGCCTATTGTTAGCTGTAAGTATTTCAGAAAAAGTCTTGACACCTAAGACAAAAGTTTAAAACAACAAAACCAACCAGCCAACAAAACCCAAATCAAGCCAAAAAACAAGCAAACACCAGCCGTTTGTAGGAAAAATTAACTGTAAAAGTATATTTCTGTTAGTGCAGCTTAGAAATAGTAAGTTTTTTTAGAAATGGAGCATTATATTTGATTGTAGACCATCTGTAATCTACTACTTCAACGTCCCATCTAATTATGTACAGTGGATTTATTATAGTAAATAAACTCAAGCAGCTTTTTTGTGTTTATTTACTGTATAGATTCCATCCAAGGTGTTACTGTGTTGCAGTATTTCAATATTGCACTGAAGGATTCTGAAGGTGTTTGTCCTTCTTGTTGCCATAACCTCCTTGCTCAGCAGAGCAGAAGGATGGCAGGACCTGTTAGCAGAACTCACAGGCAGTATTTATTCTCAAAGCAGAACTTAGCTGTTATTAAAACCAAACAAAACACACACTTTCAGTCAAGTGACACCATCATTAATGAGAACTAGAGAAAATTACAACTAATTTTCTTAAGTACTTGAAATAACTGGCATAAAAATACTGGCCTGTGCTAAATTGTATTGGCTTTTATAGTAAGCTTGTCTTTTAGGAAAGAAATAGTGGTTATTTTTGTATAGAAAACTACTGTCACTCCAAGGCTAAATTTGAGTTTTCTCTAAGCCTTTAGATTTAGATTGTTGAGAATGGAAGTTCCTTGTTTTCTCACAGCATGTTAGGAGTTGCAAACCATGTGAGAGAAGCACACAGTATTTCCTGTGTGCAGCATTTTAACATGCTTGATATTACAGAGAAATTTTAAGAGCTTGAATCATATATTTTGAACTGTCAAGTGTCTTTACAAATGGGCTGTATTATCTCTGATACCCACTCACCTGCACTTGTGAGAAGCGTGTGATGTGCCCGGGATGTGGAGCTAGTTGGGCTGCATTTCTCTCTTAATTCCAAAGCAGAAGGTGAACAGAGCAGTAGATATTTGGGGGAATTTCCTTGGCTGTTTCATAGGTCATTTAGATCTTGTTTCCTCTAAGCTTGTATCACTTAACTTTTTCTCATTGTAATAAACTCGGAAGTAATTCCAGCAGTCAAAGTGAGGTCTGTAACTTCAGACAAACTTGATAGTTAACGTACATGCTGGAGGCCATGACTTTTAAAATTAATCGTCTGATATAGGTAACATGTAAGTCTACTTTGACTTGTCTTTTCAGACTGTACTTCAGGTTCTCCATTCATTTTGATCAGTCATGATGAACAAAATGTTTCTATGGTTTTGTTGGTTCTGCACCTCATTTCAAGTAGGCTGTCTAGAGGTTCCAACACATTTGTGTTGAAGTTTCTTGCTGTGTGCCTGACAAGCAGATCTGCTACTTGCATTTTCAACATCTGCTTTGTTGTATCAAGTATCTGCTCAGTGGTAGTATTTCTGTCAGAATTACCATGTAAGTATCCATGATATGTAAATGTTGGTGGCTGTAGTTCTGCATGACATTAAGGACTGATGTTTCCCCCACTTCTGGCATTGTAGCATGGCCACTGGCTTTGCACTGGAGTGATCTGTGCCCACTTCTTGCCTTCCGAATGTCACTAAACTGGACAGATGAACCAGTTCAGAATCTGCCCCCCAGGTGTTTAAACAGTGTTATGACCACGTCTGTTAACTGCACGCTGAGGCTATGATGTACACATATGTGTTTGTCATACTTGAACTGGAAGCACTGGTTGAACTATGACATACAGTAGAAATGGAGATTTTTCACTGTTGGTGTAAAAGGATTACAAAATCAGGAGGGAAATACGATCTTACAATTATTCAGACTTTATAAGTTGCTATTCAAATATGAAATACCTCTATTATCTATAGGAAAGGGTATTTTTGTCTTGAGTTATGACTCATTCCTACACAGAAGAAAACCCTTGTTCTGTTGATGCACTGCATTTACACATTGGGGCTTGTTTATTTGGAGCAATAATGTACTGCTCCAGTCACACCACTATATACATATCATTAGAAATATGCTCTCAGTGGATAGCTTCATTGAAACGCAGTAAATCCAGTGTATTTTTGAGACCTTTAGGTGTTCTTCTTGGCAGTCCAAAATAGCACCCTAGTGTTTTCTGTAATTTTTTCCAGCACATCATTGTCTTCAGTATTGGGATTTTTTTTTTTAATATCTAACCTGAATCATCCATTTTGCAACTAAAGCTCATGACTATCCACAGTGCCTGTGGGAAAAGGCTCCATCAGTTGAGGTGGATAAATAGTTTCGGTAAAGATCTCTCTCAACAAAAACCTTTTTTTTTTTTTTTTTTTTTTTTTTTTTTTAAAATGTGTAACTTTTACATTACCAAAATATTTATATAATCGTGAGAACATTGACAAAACATTATCTAAATGTTATTGAAACTGTTTCTAATACATACATATCTGGGGTTACCTTATTTTTGTTTATTGTGCATTGTTTCTTATGTATGAAGAAACCAATTTTTCAGACTAAGTATAAATGACAACTGGTGTCAAAAACATAATCTGGATCATTTTAAAGGGTAAGTAACATAATCAGAAGTGGGCCTATTTTCCCAGAATTATTTCTGCTCCCTTGACCAGTCTTTAACCTCCTCCTGTTAGTGTGAATGCTTTTATGGGCGGTTATACCCATCTGTGTTCTTAAGTAGTTACTTTACCAGTAACCTAAGAATCTTCTTTTTAAAACAGCTTCAGGCTCTCCTTCAGATATGGCCCAAACTGCTGCCCAGAGAAGCACTAGAATTGTTGGATTTCAATTATCCAGATCAGTACGTCAGAGAATATGCAGTGGGTTGTTTAAAGCAAATGAGGTGAGTATGTTCTGTTACTTCAGCATGCATGGACATCTGGAGTGAAAAACTTCATTCTGTTTGTTTATAGGAAAAAAAACCCCAAAGAGGAAAGATTTAAGCACGCTGCCTGCCATGAATAGATGGCCAAATAAAGCAGGCTAATTTCTAGATAAGCACGTTGGCAGCCAAATAAAGCCTTATTCTGACATCGTGTATTCAGTGATTATTTTCTGTGTTGCTGAGAGAACAGCAGTGTGCCTTTGTCTCAGGGAGGGTTGTGTCTTCAACCAACCCTTCCTTGAACAAAAGGAGAGCAAGATAGTGTGAGAACTTTCTAAGAACAAAGGGAAAAAGTATTACAATGGTCAAATACTATAAAAATTGCCATCCAGCCACCTCTCACCCTCTGTCAGGGATTGGCTGCATAATTTAATATAAGTGTAAGATGTACCTTATAATAAATAAACCAGACACTTACTGATTTATTCGTTCTTCACTGTAGCCTTTGCTATCTGCAGTTGTTCCTTTATCACGTATAATTTTGCTCCTCACAGTAACCTAGGGCAAGGTCTGTGTAACAGTAGCATTTGCAGCATTACTGCCTGTTTCCTGTCCTTGGATTTTAAATTGTATGTGGTGAATAGTTTAATGATTAATTCTTTTAATGGTCAAGGCTAGACTTTTGGGGGTTAAAAAACCACCAAGAGTGTTTTGACTTCTTTCAAATGCAAGCAAGCAATTTGGCTGCTGGGCTATCCTAAATAATACTGGATTGTTAGATCTGGAATTACTTTCAGAATTCTTAAGTTCTGGCTCTGAAGCAAAATCATGTTCAGTTGGTGTCAGAAATCAATTTTCAATGTCATTAAAAAGCCTGATGAAGGCAGCTGGTAAAAGCTGTAACCTAAAGGTGATCCTATTAGCAGAAATAAAAATTACATGAACTTGAATTATGATTTTCAATCATAATTGAAAAATCTTTCCAAGTTACGGAAGTTTTTCAGATGGCATGAATAAAAGAATTCAGTGTTTGCACCTCTGAAGTCTTCAAGCGATGGGCAGAAGAATTTCTACTCTTTTCCTTCCATCTTAGGCAGAAAATTTGAATACTGCAGGCCTTTTTGAAGAGATGCTCAAATGTAACAAGTAAAGGAACATTCGCATTTGTACTAGAGTGACATAATTGTCGTCTGAGAAATTTTTTGGGGGAGAAAAAGAACACAGGATTTTATAGAAAATTATTGGAAACATTGTTACTATGTTAGACTATTACTTGAAGTAGTTAATTAATCTAGGGGCCTTATAAAAGTATGTGGCTAAATACTTAAATTTGCACTTGTAGGAGTAATTTGGGCACTGTTTGATTTCTCAGAGATGATGTAGGTATTTTTCCTTAACCTTTTTGTTGTTGGTATGATTAAAAAAACCCAACCCAACAACCAAAACCAACCAAACAACCAAAACCCAAACAAAATGTTTTGACTCGATGGATCACTTTGTAGGAGTATCTTAATAAATTAACACCTATTAGCTCACAAGTAGTAACTTTGACAGACACGATAACTGAATTGCTTTCAGTGGAATGAATGTTCTGCGCCCCCTTCTTTGTAAGCTGAGTGACTTTGATAGGTGTATGCAACTATTGCCAGTTCTTGTCCATGCTCACTGCAGCTAACTGCTAGGTTCCTCTTTATGTGGTTCCACAGGTCCATCTCTTTAGTCTGAGGTTTGAGTGCTCAAAGGGAGCCAGTGTCCAGCCTGAAATAATTTTAAATAGTTAATATCCCAGATATTTAACCTAGCTCTGAGGCCTAGGTCTTGATCTTGTAGAAGCCTATGACAGAACACCATCTTTTCACTTCCAGGTTTGAAAGCCGTAAGACTCTGCTGGAGGTATAACTTACTGATGAATTGACCAGTCTGGCACTTGCACTAACTTGTGCATTATTGTCCCTCTCCACGTGACTGAAAAATTGGGAGACACTCTTGTTACTGAAACAAACCTGTCATTGTTGGATTTGTCCTATGCATTTCAATTTCTGGAATATCATTAATCTAGTTACTCTGTTACTAACTGCTTTTATGTACCTCATTCTAGTGATGAAGAGCTCTCTCAGTATCTCCTTCAACTTGTGCAAGTCCTGAAATATGAACCTTTTCTTGACTGTGCGCTCTCCAGGTTTCTTTTAGAGAGAGCACTCGCTAACAGGAGAATAGGACAGATGTTGTTTTGGCATCTAAGGTAGGAGTTTTTCCCTTACATCCTTCTGAAACTGTGGAGCCTGACTGGACTTTCAAATGTGATTACCTGAGGACTTATCTGACTGAGCCATTACTGTAGTCCTCTTTGCATTTCTTTACCTTTGGCATTTAAAGATCAGAACATGCCTATAATTGAGAATATATTACAGTGTTTTGTAATCTTCTGTTAGAAAATATTCCCAAGTGCGTTCAGCTCTATCTGATAAAGTTATGTTTGTATATAAACCTTAGTGTTTGTTTTGGCTGCGTGTGCAGTAGAAGTACAATGTTTATACCTCACAATTGAGCAAAATATATATTATGGTTGAGAGCAGTTCTCTGTGTAGCTGCTACTCTTGGTGACTGGTTCCCTGAAAGGCAGCCACGTTGCAGAATGGACCATGGGTTGATTCTAACTTCAAAGTGCAATTTACTTTAATATTTCTAAATAAAAAAGGGTAGGTACTACATGAAAGTATTTTGAGGGTAATTGGCCCTGGTATAAGGTTCAGTGGCTTGTTTCAATGTGTTTTCCTTCAGGCAAATTTGGGGTCTTCAGTTAGAGAGACTTGAGAACACGTAGTTTAGTGTCAGCCCTGATTTGTCAGTATCACCTTCTATGACTTATCAGTACTACTGTCTTGAATAAAAGGGGCTCCTGAAAACAAATACCCAGTCACTACCTCTTAACATTACTGTCTCCAGAGCAGTCCTAGACCTTGAAACAAGAGGCATGCATGGAAACTATAGCCAGTCCTCGTAATCTTCAGCACATAAATGTTCTGTTATTTCTTTAGAAATCTGACTTTCTGTTTTATCTGCATGGCCAGGAGGTGGTTTGCTGTTTATTTTTTTGTTGGTTTTTTGTTTGTTTGTATGGGGGCTTTTCATTATTGTAATGACTTGAAAAATGCCAATCTTTAAGTACTGTAGTCTGATGAGTGGCTTTTCTTCTTATAGGTCAGAGGTTCACATACCTGCCGTTTCAGTACAGTTTGGTTTGATACTTGAAGCTTATTGCCGAGGAAGTGTTGCTCATATGAAAGTACTTGCTAAACAGGTATAGACTTCCCATCTTCTTTAAACCTTGACTTATCTTAGTTTGTAACTCAAACACTTATTCCATTGCTTCTGTGGGGCATATTGGTAACCTTGACAAAATCCATCTGCTGGGGAGCAGGGAAGAGAAGGAAGCATGGGTGAGACAGAGGAATAACACAGAAACCAGATGGATGATGGAGTGCTCCTCCCTGGTATGGAAAGCAGCTAGTGCTGTGGGGCCTCAGAGGTAGGGAGCTGGCTTTATAGTGTTCCAAGAGGTGTGAGGTACTTTCAGCAGTCTGCTTGTATTCTGGACAGAGCAGCAGGCTGTCTGAGTTATTAACTGAAGAAGGGTTTCTGTGCACTGGAGACTTGTGACCTTTTTACCCCAGTAAGGGTAGCCTGTTCAATAGAAACTATTACTTTTCCATCTAAACTTTAGCTAGATGACTCCTGAACTGTTTCCTGCAGCTTTGGCTTCTTTTAAAAGGTGATGCAAAACCCTGTGAAGTTGTAGTATAATGTAGTATTCCCTGGAAATAGAGGTGTTGAAGTAAACCAAAAACATGTTTTAGTGTTACTATAAATCTGACATTTACAGAAAACAAAAAAAAATAGAGATGGTTGCTGTTAAATACCCTAGTAAATGTGAGAGGTTTGCTTTTAAGTACAAATGTATCAGCAGATTGATAAGAAAGACTCACAAATAATGCTTGAAGTCTCTAATGCAGTTTTAGCAGTGAATTTAGATTATTATAATAAAAATCTTCTAAAAAGGATCTCTCTCTGGAATTAATGTATCTGCTGTATCAGGCCACAGAGACTCACTGAGTAGGTACTTGTCTGATGAGTGGTGTTTCTAACAGTTTTGATACTGTCTATATTGAAACTATGTTTTAAGAGGCATATGGAACAGGAATGTACTGTTGTGCTCTTTATTACTGCAGTTCACAGGACATTGAGAGACCATCTCTTACACATGTGTGCTTGTTAGTATTGTCAAAATCATAAAAAGATTAGGTGATGAAATGCTTGGAGCAATAGACCTAAGGTCAGTAAAGTTTTTGTGCACTTCACAGGAAACAAATGTCAGTACAATCAAAGAAGGGGCAAAAAAATTCCCAACTGTGCAAACACGGAAGAAATTCAAAGTAGAAATACTTCAAAAAGTTCCTGTTTGTACAGCACAGGTTCCATTTTGTTCCCTTGTCACTGATGTTGGTACAGCTCCTAGAATAGTGGAAAAGCAGAGTGCTTTTGGTTTTGACAGATGGCTGACCTGGCAGGTCTCCACTGCCTCAGTTTTATAATCAAACTGCATACAATTTCCACAGCATCCTGCCTGACAGAGGTCATTCTGTCTGTAGAAGTGGTAAGTTTTGACTCAGCACCTTGTAAGTTAGACTGAAGCTTCCTTGTATAGAAATCAACTTTTGTAATTATTAAATTGATGTTGTTTGCTAGAGAGTATGTGTATTACTGTGCATGTTGACTGTGGCTAGTGCAAATACAGCTGACTGTTCTAACTACTATTTTATATATGTCTAACAAGTTGTATAGATGTAGATGCAATGCACAAAATCTATTTGTTGTATGTGCTGCCTAGGTTTGTTTTTGAAGGGCTTTTCTCTGTTATGTACATTTACATCACTAGTTGACTTGTTTCCTTAGAAATTATGTATGAGTAAAAACTTTCCAAAACAGAAGGGGAAAAAAAAGGGTTAAATCCACCTGCATGATTGCGAGATAATTGCCTTGCCTTTTTACATGTGTTTAAGGTAACAGTATGGCTTAGATGAGACACTATGATTTGGAATGCCTTAACTGATTAGAGCATTTGCCTTATGTCTAACTTCAGCGGGATTTTAATGAGCAAACGTTTAAGACTCTGCTCTGTACGAGTTACGGATGTGTAGTTATGCACGTGAAAATTGTCTGCAAGTGGTCACAGGGCCGTGTTGTGTTGTATGCAGCTAATGGGATGTGCGCAATGAAGTGTCTGCATCCACAGCTCACCTCAAGTAATGTTTGATTTAAATTTTAAAAGTATGAAGCACTCAGTTATTTCTGTTGACTTCAGTATGTGTGGAGTCACCTCTGTTATGTGCTGCTTTGAGTTAGTGCACAGAAATTGTATTTTGAAGACAGACTTTGTGTAAATATATTAAACACTACAATACCTCATTCATCTTTTTGGGAATGTTAAGTCATGCTTTAAAACGTGACTCAAAACTTTGGAGCTTTCACCCATCGATGTCTTTATTACTTAAGAAAATGGGATTTCTGGGACATGAGTTGCTTGGGAAAGGCCGCCTTAATTGCCATCTGTTATTTCCATTTTTAAAAAGTTGTAGAATTGTTTAATACTTCATTTAGATTTGAAATGGGATTTTGCATTGTATTATGTGTAAAATCAGAGCAATACCTTCTAAAGATAAAATATCTCTTTCAGGTGGAAGCCCTTAATAAAATGAAGACTTTGAATAGTTTAATTAAGCTGAATGCCATGAAGCAAAGCAAAGCAAAAGGAAAAGATGCAATGCAGACGTGTTTGAAGCAAAATGCTTATAGAGAAGCACTTTCTGACCTCCAGTCTCCTCTGAATCCTTCTGTTATACTGTCAGAACTCCAGTAAGTTAAGAATGAGGGAATGAAATTCTACTGTAGCTTTGCATGGGAACAGTAAAGGAGAAACTTGTGTGTGCTGTAACTTCCTTTGGCTGTATTGTTCAGGAGATGTGCTGTCATAGGGAACTTTTTTTTATAGTGAGAGAAGACCTGCTGTTGGGAATCTGCCTAAGGTTATCAGTTAAGTTTGAAGGTTTTGTGCTCTGCCTTGAAACTTAATACTCTCTTAGTCAATGCATTATCACAGCTAAATAGAGATAAATATAAGGCTAAAAGTGAATTACACAGCATTCCTGGCTTCTGTTTATAATAATAAGCACAAAAACCATTAGAACTTTTAATAGCACTTAAAGTTTAAAAGTTGATGGGAAAGGATGTAAAGAAAACTATTTTCTCTGAAAATGCAGATTTTTAATGAAAGCATTAGAGATATGTGTGCCAATCTCAGTATTTAATACATTCCATCTATAACAATACATTCGTAACTTGGTAAGCACTCATAGCCTAGTAGCAGAATGAAAGCAGAGGTAACATTTCAGTGCTTCCAGTCTGCGTGTTCTGTTGTGTTTGTACAACATTCAGACACTTTTCAGTTGAATTACTGGACTAAAACTTTTGTTGTATTTTCTTCTAGTGTTGAGAAATGTAGATATATGGATTCTAAAATGAAGCCTCTATGGATAGTGTACAACAACAAGATGTTTGGAGGAGATCTTGTAGGGATCATCTTTAAAAATGGTGATGGTAAGCAGTGCTAAAAACTTTCCTTTCTGTCTTCATTCCCACACTTGCACTTAAGCTTGTTGGTCTGTATTGCTGTAATACAAACAGGGTTTACTCTAACATCAGGAGACAAATGAAGCATCTTCTGACTTGGTTTCAAAGTATACACATGATCAATGATGACCATATAATTATGGTTAATCCCACCTTCACCTTTTAGGGTTGATGAGTATTTTTAGATTCCTTTTTTGAAGGCTGTATGAACATTAGGAAGCTTGTCTACAGCACGCTGAGAAACTGAAGTAGCAGTTTCAACCTCTCGTTATAGATCTGCGGCAGGACATGTTGACGCTCCAGATTTTGCGTCTAATGGACATACTTTGGAAAGAAGCTGGTCTGGATCTTCGGTAAGGATCTCTTGAGGGCTGGTTTATTTGGATGGAGAGTCTGCTTTTAGCAGTAAAGTTTTCACATTTTTTAATTATCTTACCTACTGTCCCCTTTCTACACATCTACATGGCTGCCCAAAGGTTTCAGTTGTCATCGCCAGGGTGAACAGGCTATAGGAAGCAGTTACCGTAACTAATTAGGTGGCTTCTCTTGGCATTTAATGCCTTAGATGGCCCGCATTACAAAAGAATTTAGGATGAAAAGAAATAATGGAAGAAGTGAAGTTAAACTTTGGGGGGTTTTGTTTATTATCAAGCAGAATATTTCCCTGGTGTGCAAGGATATGATCCTTGCCATTTATCTAAGTTGCCACACCGATTATAAATTCCACTGTTCTCTTATATAGTTTACTGTTTTCATCATTTGAAAATCATCTAGATAAAAAGTATTGTATGAGGTCAGGAAACAATTCCTGAGTTAAGCATCCAGCAAGCAGGTTTCGTGTCTTTTGTTTGTTTGTTGTGTCTGTGACCTTTACAAACAGAGATGTTTCATAAATTTATCATGTAACAAACTTACCTGTTAGTGGTCACTGATTTTCCAGGCATATGCACAAACGGGGACTTAGTAATGATAAGAATTGTGACTCTTAAGTTCTAAGACATGCATGAAAGTGAGGTACAGCCATAGGACACAGATCTGCTGGCCAAAGGTTAGCAGCTGAGGACTGCATCTGGAATACACCATCACGAATCTCTGGTGGGTAGGCCTAATAAGCAAAACCCTCTCTAGAAATTGGTCAGCTTTAAATACTGGTAATTTGGGGGTGGGGGAGTAGGAGGCTTGAGATTCTTTATAATATAATTTCACTGTCTGGTTGACAATTACCAGAATTGTGAAATGCACAAATACAGGTTCTTCTTTTTAACATTTTCTTATTTCTCTGGGCCTTTTTCCTTAAGGGCATGTATAATTTGTGCTGCTGTGGCCACACATGTCCAAATAAATTTTATACTTGCAATCTATTTCCTACCAAATTTAACAGAGGAATGTCCATCTTGTATTAATTACATACAGGCTTCATGAAGATGAGGGTCTCGGGAGAGAAGTATCAATTTGTGGGGCTTTTATTGGTTTTTTTTGGGGGGGGAGGAAAGGGGTATTGGTTATTTTTGGGGTTACTTGTCCAGCCAAATCTATGCACCAGTTTTCGCCAATATAATTTTCAAGTTCTTATTTCTTTTTAGAGAAGTAGTTCTAAAGAAGATACTGGGTGTCACATTATTATAAACCATTTGGAGGCCATATATTCAATTTTGTATGCCTGTGGAAGAGCTGTAATCCTGCGTGTTCATTTTTAATTGCTGTTTGTAAGGTTAGAAGTACTTATTTAAATATTACTTGGAACACTCCATTTAGATTTTTTGAGCTCATTTCAAATTTCTGTGGTTCAAGCATAATAGTGGGAGCTTCATAAGGCACAAAACATCAGCCTGCACAGAGAAGTAAGATTATGAACTTGTTACTTAGGCTGCTTATGGAAAGATTCTTTGGGTAAAGTATGGAATGAGGAAGGAATGTGAACAATAAATTTTTTCTGGAAGTGTATGTTTGCGATGAGGTGGCTGAGCATGTGTTGAACACTGATTTGAGGAAACTTTAGATAATTTATGTCATTATAAATAGACTGTGAGGAGACTGATCCAGCGTTTAGGAGCAAGGACAACTTCTGGCAGCTGTGGAATCCCAGATGAGGCATTCTTTGGTTGCTGCCTTCCCAGAAGCTTAGTTTGTGGTTCCAGCCTGGGCCACACACCGTGCCTAGCAAACAGGAATAGCGATCAGGAGTCATCAAATATGCTTTTCCTGACTAAGGCATTTTTTAACTCAACAAAGGAAAACCAAAAATGGTCTCTGATGTCTAAGATTTTTCTTAAAACTCTCAGAAGAAAAAAAAGTAGAAAAGGGAAGTTCCTAGTGAGAATTGAAGTTCTATAATTGGCCTCTTCCATTTATTTACTTAACTGGGAGCATCTTCCTTCCATTCATCCTCTCATGATTAGAAAATAAAATTCTAGGATTGAGGCAGGGCTACAGTTTGATATCTGTCAAAGAGAGATTAACCAGGCAGCTGCCAAGGGAAGGCTCTGAAATGGCCTTAATTGGAAAACAGAACTGGACAGAACAGCTCTCTGAATGCCTGGAGTGCGAGGACACAGCTAAGAGGGTAGGACACTGTGATGTCCGTGTTTACAGTCTGCATGCTTCACTGGAAAAGGCAACTCCAAAATCTATGGGTTAACAGCAGTGGTTCTGTTGCCATGTTCGTGAGTTGGGAACTGCTGGCTTCTTTTTGCTTGGTTAACATGTATGGTGTCAGGTAAAAAGGTGCTTTCCTGAAAATACAACGTTATACATCCATACAAAGAGTGGAGTTATTTCTTCTTGCCCTGTATCATCCTTGGAGGCTTTAGTTTCCCTGAAGTCGTTGCTTCCCTTTTTCCTTTGTGGATGCATAATGGATTTTGCACTTTTCAACTCTTTTCCACTACAGAAAGTCTGGTAACTCCATGCAAGTACGATACAGGGCTTCTCACTTCTTTCACCAGTGTAAGAGCAGAAGCAGTTGCTGTCTGCCTCTCTCTTCCAATCAATAATATCTTGCCACAAGCAAATTATGCAGCTTCTACAAAGCATGGATCAAATGGCAACCAATATGCTGCCATTGAGGAGTTTAGGATAGGATCAGTTTCCATATAATTGCACTGCAATCCACAGTCAGTTATTTAGTAGTAATTTAAAATGAAATCTTAGCCCATTCTGTGTCTAAAGCAAGCATGATATTCCCAGTGGGGTTTCTCAGCTCTGGAGAGAAACAACAAATATATATTGGTTTTGAGATCTCCAAAGCTGAAGAAGGAGAAATGTACGTGTATTTGTTTGTTTGTTTCTTTAACTGTCAACTAATTTGTCTCATGGGTAAACTGGCCTATTTCACACACGGTGTGTTTCATTGTCTCGGTCCCATGCATGTGTTCTGACCACAGAGCAGAACAAGACTAGGGTTTGTACCAGAAAGGGAAATACGTGGGAGCACGTGGCAGTGTACTCCAGTAACTCCTTTTTCCTGGGCTGTCCGTGGAGTGCACAACTGAATAAAGCTTCTGATGGAAATCGCATCTGCTTCTCATACAGACCCAGCCATTAGACAGCAACGACCGTTGGCCCAGAGGAGCTGTCATTTAGAGAAGTCTGGCTCAGGCTCAGTTTACCTTAGATATCAGTCACTCAAGTACCAGAGAGAAATGAGAAAACCGAAAAAGCATATTGTTTAATTAATCCCCATACTTGTTAATTTCTAACACAAACTATTACCTGAGAATTGAGCTGGAAAGGGTCAACATATAAATGTGTACAGCCGAACTTCCACAGTTCTTTCTGTAGCTTATCTCTAGCTGTTTCTTGTTCTTTAAATATGGGCAATTACGAAACAAACTCACTAAATAAAATGGTATTTACATTGAGGTTACATCTGCAGAGTGACAAAAAGACTTTCAGAGGTTTAAACCCCTGAAAAGGTAAAACTCTTCAAGTTACATTGCTTTAAAAAACTGTGCCTGAAGTCATGTGTAGGGGCATACTCAGAAGATCACATCATTCTCTGTTATTTGTTTCTATGAGGAATGTTTAAATATTACAAATACCTGTCACAGCAGAGGAGCATAACATCTGTCTGTGGGGTCTGCAGTGTTGCACCTCTTGAGAGAGTAATCCTTGCCTCAAAAAGTGTATCTGCAGCTTTACCTATATGACAGCATTGAAATTGTGTTAAGGGAGAATTTAGCAAAGTAACAGAACAAAAGCAAATCTGAAATTTGAGGAGTTTGATCTATGCTGAGTGACCTTTACTGTGGTAGGTTATCGAAGTATTTAGTACTTGGTTACTTTATGGACAGATAGAGGGAGTTTGCCAGACTACTTTTTCATTTTCACTACCTCTTGAGTTCAATACCTATAATGAGTTTTCATTTTTACCTCCCTTAAGGTGTGTCAAGTCTTATGTTAAGCGACTGTATGAATGAAATCAGAGCTCATAAACGTATTTGAAAAATGTATTTGTTACAAATGTAAAAATGACATTATTTTTAAATCATTGTGCCCGAAGTTACAGAGAATATGTTAACAAATTACCAGAACTCGGTGTTGGATTTGGAAAGATACTGCTTTGGAGAATTAAGCTCTTGAAATAAAGAACAGTTTTAAATAGAGTGAAGGAGAATATTTTCTGTCCTGCCCAGAACTGCTGTGTTGATCTGCCTGTGGTCTTACAGGCATTAAAAAGCAGGGAGCATATCCTGCTGACAGATGTTGAAGTCAGAAAGGCCAGGATGAGATGGAAAGGGCCCAGAGGATTTGTCCCTAACTTGACTCCTGTCAAACTGTCTCTCTGACAAGGATGTTTTTTCCTCCAGTTGTAAGCACAGAGTCCTCAAGGGGCTGAAGGCTTTCATCATTGCTTGCTTTTGAAGGGGAAGTTGTTGGACATGTGCCCAGTTAAGCGGCAAGTAGAGTGGGTTGAAATGCCATGGAAGAAGGCCAGCATGCACTTTAACCTGGCAATATTTGGCTTACGTTTGTCATGTCGTGATAAGGATGGGCAGTGCTTCCTTGTATCGTGGACGCTGGTATTCAGTAATTACAGATCCCTTCTTGTTCATTGTGAAAGTCCTTTGGTCTAGATTGTTGGGGTTTTTAATTAGGAAATAGATTAGAATAGAAATGGGAAGAAGGTTCCAAATCACCACTTCTCCTTTTATTATTAATTTTTTCTTTTTATTTTAAACCTGTGTGTTCTGAATCCCCTGTTGAATCTAATTTTCCATTCATTTTGTTGCCAGGAGAGAAGAATCTCCAGCTATATAGTTATTCCTACTTGTGCTGCTTCAGTTGTGTGTTACTAGTGAGGTAGAGAAACTGTTCAGCTACCTAACAGCTAATATGCCAAAAAGTTCCCATTAATTTCATCTGGAATGTTATTGGCTTTTCCTTTATGGCTTGGGATAATAGACTCTGTCAGTTATAGGATGTGCTTCTGCTTTGTAGCAATCAATATCTGCTTTATATATAAATACTGATTAAACTCCGCTATCAGTGCTTTTTCTTTATATAAAAAAAATATATAAAAAATATATATAAATAATAAAAATATATAAAATATATGCATATATATGCATATGCACCCCCCAAAATTTAATTTTTAATTGTCCTGCAATTTTTTATACAGCTTTGTAAGTTAGTGAGTGCTAATCTATACCTTGTGTACTGTAGCTAGCTGTGCATGGGTATCCATTCTTTTCTATGTGGATCCATGACCAGAATTGAGGTAATACTCTTGACACCTCTATTTGGGATGCAATGCCTTTGAAGAGTTGCTTTACTTTGCCATTGCAGACATTGAGCTCCCATCTAAGTTGCTATTACATTTAGCACTTCAAGCATCTGGAGTGAGGAAATGTTTTGGAAAAACTACACTTATCTATTTAGACACATCTCTCTCTGTGTCTTAATGCCATGATAGTGTTGTAGATACTTTTACAAGACACTGTGTATGAATGCACAGGAATATTCTTACGTATCAGGCAGGTTAAAAGGTGTATTCCTGGTTTTCATTAGGTTTCTATGCTTAAAATCAGTAAAAGTTGGAGAATATTGGTTTATGTTTATATTTAAAAGGATTTCTAGCATTTTAACTGGAAATCGGAAGAATGAGGGGAAAAGAGGTGCTGTTTCCCATTTACACAAATAATTTTGTCTAGAATGAATGTAACTGCTTAGCCAGTAAAATAACAAATGAAAACAAAGGGCTCCCTCTATGGTTTCTCCTACAAAAGTACAAGTAACCGTGTTACCTAGGAAAACAGAAAAATTAGGGTTGCTTATAACTTCTTTTTTTATATATATTTGTAATAGGAAAAAATAATATTTTAAATGTATTGCTGGTATTTTAACTTTGCAAGCAATATCTGTACATTAACCTTGGTTGTTCAAGTTAGCGTGAGTATTCAGCCCGCAGTGTGTGTTGATACACTAAAGAAACATGCTTGCTATTTCTGTTTTTAACATGAATCTGTGTTTCCTTTCAGGATATTGCCTTATGGCTGTTTAGCAACTGGAGATCACTCGGGCCTTATTGAGGCTGTGTCTAGTTCAGAAACCATTGCTGACATTCAGTTAAATAGCAGCAACGTTGCTGCTGCCGCTGCCTTCAACAAAGATGCTCTCTTGAACTGGCTGAAGGAATACAATTTAGGGTAATTTCTACAGTTATTGTCTCATTTATGAGCCACAAAATTCCTTCGAGTTTCTATTTCAATGTTGAGGAATGCGTGGTGCTTCTGGTAGGTTTGTTACTACTTATTTTTCTAGTGTGTCAAATTCCACCTCAGATCCATGGGATTCAAACAGCAACTCAGCTAAATTCTGACTTTTACAGCATTTTGACTGCATGTTGTTGAGTAAGTTATACTAGATTTGGCAAAACAAACCAACCCAAGAAAACTACCTGGGTTGCAAGTCTTGGTGTTGTTGCCTTTCGTATTTGCATTTGTCCTGTTCCCCTTTGCTACTTTTTACAGTGTTTTCTCTCAAATAAGTCTAGGCGTACCTCATCCTTTTAGATGTGCAGGCATAACACAAATTACTAGTTGTGTGCACTAATATTGGTTGTCCTTGTGGTTTTAGAGATGACTTGGATCGAGCCATTGAAGAATTTACTCTGTCCTGTGCTGGCTACTGTGTAGCTACTTATGTACTGGGGATTGGCGACAGACACAGTGACAATATTATGGTCAGAAAAAATGGTCAGGTAAAAAACTCTTTTCTCTAGGTAAAATAACTACAGTGTCTCTGTTCTGAGATTTATATTATATTTATATGTAAGAATTATATTGAAGTTTTAATTTCTTCAGTGTCTCAATAAAATGAACTTGTAAATTATTCTGCCTAAAAAACTAGCAAGGATTTTAAAAGGAGAGTTTCAGGGACATTTGCAGTATTATTTAAGTTTTTACCTACTAGAAGAAAGCTGAAATGTCCTTATCTTTGTTTCTGAAATGGGAGCCCTGCCACAGGTTCCCCGAGAGTAAGTTCTATTAGTTTTGCTCCTACCTTTACGTGGGAAGCCCTTGGATACGATCATGTTGAGTCTCATGCGCTCATCACCGGGCTCATTTTTCTATCTGATATTACCAACAGGATGTCTCTTGGCAAATGTCAGATGCTTAAACCTGAGATAATCTTTTGCACACTGATTCGTAGCAGTGGTTGCTCATGAGAGCCTGGATGTTACAAATGACTTTAAATAATTCTTGAAACGTTTAAAACTAAGTACTCCCAATGGGTTGAAAGCATGGGTTCTGAAGAGTAGCATTATGCATTACCTGTTCTTGATATCAGCATCCTATAGAGATATGAGAAAAGTGAAATATTTTACCATATAAATTAATCTAATTTCTGGTTTTTAGCTCTTTCATATAGATTTTGGGCATATACTTGGAAACTTCAAGTCCAAGTTTGGAATTAAAAGGGAACGGGTACCTTTCATACTGACCTATGATTTCATTCATGTTATTCAACAAGGAAAAACAGGGAACACTGAAAAATTTGGTCGGTGAGTATTATTTTGATCTCTTCCTTTTATATTTGAGATGTTCTCTGGTCATAATTTTCAGCACATCAGGAACCCACCTGGGTTTGGTTTGCTCATTTGTACTTGTGTTGAAGTGTGCTAACATGCGTTTACAACACTATCTACTTCTCTACTTGAGCTCGAATATATACACAAGTTAATTCATACATCAAAACCTGCAGCTCTGCAGTGGAACCATACAATTCCTTTGATCTCCTCCAGCAGGAGATGGCAGACTCTTCTGTTGCTCATCCTTTTTTTTACCTTCAGCAGCATTGGGCAGGAGGGAGGGATTCCACAGACTGTTGTTCAAGCAAGATGAAGCACTGGACTTAAGTAGGCTCCCTTCTGCCCTTTCTGTCCATCAGTGCACATTAATTGTGCTGATGAATCATGCCATGATCTAGACGCTTAGGGGTATAGAGCCTTCTGCTTCCAATCCAATGCTTTGGCATGCCCCCTTCTCACCTCGGGATGCACAGCTACAGTGGAATGTGAAAGCACATGACAAGGGAAGATGTCTTCTGTGATTCTACCTGCTGAGGTAGATCTGTCTTTTTCCCTTCTGTGACATTCTCACCAGTGACAGGAAGGGCGTTCTGAATGTTTGCTCTCACTTTGCTATCTGTTTTCAAAGGAAGAATTTTTCTGGCAGAGATGTGAATACTTAAGTATGGCTTTATAGATCTTACAGCTACTTCTGGTAGCAGAAGCTGTACATACAGTTGTAATGGTGCATCTAAGAAAAGAGCTGCCAGTGACCCGTGTCTATCCTGGAGACAGAAGAAATCAACCTGTAGCTCCATTTTTAAAGCCATGATGTAAAGGCCATTAGATGACTGTGCTATTGCAAGAGCTATGGACTATGGAGTACTTTAAATGACAGCAGGATTCCACTTTCACTTGATAAATGCTTCAGAAGATAACTTTTTCTTTGAATTATTACTCATCTTAGTCTGAAGGGTTCTTCCCATTTTCTGTGGAAATTTACAGATTAAATGCTGGACAATGGCACATTTGGGGACACTGAGCAAGTTCTCAAGTGTCTTGTGTGACAGGTCTTCATGGCAGATCTGGCAGAGAGTTCGATTTTGACCATGTCTGCAGGAAGGAATTACCTTACAGAGACAGGCTGGATTGGTAGGGGGTGCTATAGAGTTGCTGTTCCGTTGTGGAGGATCATGAGGGTGTTTCACCTAAGGTTCTAGGGGAGGTGGGACACAAGCATTACCTGTGGCATTTTTTGTTTTTTCTGAAGGAACGGTTTGTTTTAAAGCTTTTGATCTCTTGTACTGATGTTTTAAGGGCTCATTGGAGGGCATGGGATATATCTGGGGGAATACATTGGAGATTCTGTAGATATCTGTGTCCTTTCTGTTACCGTGTTCCTACAATACATGTGTTAGACCAGCTAACAATTTTTGGAAATCATTACATACATTTGTCATCTGTGTAAGTTCTCATGTGTTGTCTTGATCACATGTGCTTGTGGTTGAACGTGAAGGTTCCGCCAGTATTGTGAAGAAGCATACTTGATTCTGCGAAAACATGGAAACCTATTTATTACACTCTTTGCACTGATGTTAACTGCAGGGCTTCCAGAGCTAACCTCTGTCAAGGACATCCAGTATCTCAAGGTAAAGTATGATTTACGACTCGGTGGGACTTCTCAGCATGTGAATTTTGATACTAAGATGAATACATTTTGATTGTTTTCCATTTCTCTCAAGATTTCCAGCTAGTTCTCAAAGCTTTCTTTTTGAGCTTTATAGAACAAGGTCAGTAGTCAGTCCTAGCAGTCAAAGGAAACTGTGAATACATGTTCCTCTTAACTGTTATATAATGAGTTCAGCATCCCTTCATCTTAAATAGAGTCACCTCATGGGTGTTCTACATCTTGGCTTATGCACAAGCATAGACCTGTGAAGGGAAAAATTATCTGCTTATTACCTCTTTAGTTTTGCCTTTAAGCACAGAAAATACCTTTGACAGATTGCTCAATGGATAATAGGTGAAAAAGTGTCAGAACAGGAAAAAAACAGAATGTGGTTTGTGTTGCAAGGTGGAGGCAGCATTAACTGTGATTTGTGAGATTCCTAACAGTACTTGTTTTCCTGTCATCTTAGGACTCTCTCGCCTTAGGGAAGAGTGAGGAAGAAGCACTAAAACAATTTAAGCAAAAGTTTGATGAAGCACTCCGGGAAAGTTGGACTACTAAAGTGAACTGGATGGCTCACACTGTTCGAAAAGACTACAGATCCTAGAAGGTTTTTTGCATTTGCACTAAGCTGGATGTTCCCTTGATACGTGTTTTTTAAAAGGGATCTGTAGCATGGACCAACAAAACCTATTTTAAATAAGAAAGAAAATGAAACAATGAGAAGAAGTAAGAATCTACAAATAGTGAACATCCTGGATAATCAGTTCCTGCTGACTTTGCACGCTGAGAGCTACTAGGCATTTTTAAAACTTCTTTGGTACTTTATGGAGGTGTAAATATTTGTTTTTATACGTTAGGGTAATGTACTCTAACAGCCTCAGGAGGTTTGAAGACCTCTGACAGAATCGTTCTTTGTTTAAAGTTGGGACTTGAAGAGAAAATTTTTTTATATATATCCTAATCTGGCTAAAATTGACCATACTGTGTATATTTTTCATATGAACTCTGCCTTACTGGCACAGATGCATTAATTCTACTGTAAATAGCAACCATAGTATCATTGTACTACAGGGAGCTGCTTAATGTCTTACACTGCTGCCGAAAGAAGAGTAGATATTGGTAAGATGGGGAGGCGGGCAGGGGGAGACCTCTGGAAATGATGCGGTGTCCAGATGTTCAGGGTTGCACGATCTTGTTCCTTTGACATAACACACACAAATGAAGCCCTTCTGTAAGGGGAAAGTAAGGCCAGACATGCCCAGGAGACCCTCATTGGTAACAGTCTCCCATTTGGCCTCTGGGGCTTTGCTTTTGACTCCTTACAACGCACATCAGCTTCAACAAGAAGCTCCTTATAGCCTTACACTGAAATTCATATCACAGATCAGTTGTGCCATGCAAATGTATTGACTTAAGTATGGAAAATTTTCATCAAATGTACTATACATAGTGTTTTTTCAGAGCATACATACCAAAAACCCCAAGTGTTTGGAAAAGCAAGTGTTTATGGGGAAAGATCATTCCCTAAAACACCAATAAGAAATCATTCATCTTTTCTTTCTGTATTTATTAAAGGCTTGCAGTAATGTTGCTTTACCAAGATATATATGTTGAAGATGGTTGCTGAAGAAACTGGATTTGTTTTAATTTATTTAGTGAGGTACCAGGCTTTTAGGTGCTTAAATGGAGAGCAGATTTGTTACGTGCAATAGGGAACTGCTGGTTAAGAGATGTAACATACTGTTTCCAAACATCAGCAAGATAGACTTTACTGCTTGTTCTCCAAGGAACACTGGTAGCTCTCAACTCCTGTTGACATTTGAAAGAGAATTAAACGTGTATGTTTCCTTTTGACTAAACAGTTGTTTTGCATAGAAATGTTTTATGTAGGAATTTAATTAAAGGCGGTTTTACTTTGTTGAGAGTGATTTATTTTTGTTGTTGTTTGGGGGTTTTGTTGTTTCTTTTCAAGGTCAAGAACCTTTCTGGAGCCAGGGCACTATTTTATATAGTGGTTTGATTCTCTTGTCCCTCACCCTTTGAGTGAGTCTGACTGAAGAGACCTCTGCTTCCACAATATTGAAAAAAATAACGTATGCTTTATGGTTTGGGTTGTTTTTTGTAATAATATAATAGCATTTGAAGTGTGCCATGTCCCTCCTTTTGATTTATTTTTACTTTCAAAGCAGATGGGAGGAAGGGTAAAAAGAAACTACTTTGCAGGTGACAACTTTGGAAAAAGTAATTTCATCCCCAGCTAATGCACAGCATATAAATTTGCGTATGTGACCATTCCTGGATGTGTGATATTTTCTGTCAGACTGTGTACTCGAATGTCTCTATGTTGTTGCTCAGGGGCTATGTTGTCTTGTTGAGGGAGACATACCCTTCTCCCTGGAACTTGGCACATTCATCTTTGCTGCATAGGGCTGGCGTGCAAGGTCTGGGACAGGAGGAAGCGTGACAGCTTCTTACATCTGAGGCTAAGGGAGGTCAGCACCATGTTCCTCCTGACTTCTTGTGAGACTTGGAACAAGTTAAGCCTGTGCCTGAGATTCCCATCTGCAAAACCAGTACATAGCATTGACCTCCAGCTGCACAAACACCTTCCTTTGGTTACCACCAGGATATTGCACAGACTGAAGATGTTTGCTGTGGTGAGATACTTCGAGGAAACACTGTTTCTGCTCGGTATTTGTATTGGTTAATAGCCCTTGAATGGGGTATGTTGTATTTGGTTGTCTTCACCTTTGCTACATTTACTCTTGACAATTTATCAGGGGGAAAAACTGGCAGAAGTGTGTTAAACGGTGCATTCTCATGTTTGGCAGCAAAAGAAAATGATGCATTTTCCTTGTGTAGATTGAACTTGAGGTAGCTGAGAGGATAGCATATCCCACAAGCACCACTTTCCCAGGGCTTCCATCATCTGTGCTACAGCTTGTGGCATGCAGATTTTAATCCAGGAAATAAATAAATAACTTTTCACTGCTTTGTGCTTTTGTCCTTCACGTTTTGTTGTCCGAGAGGAGATTACTGGAATTTTAATACATCAGTCCATTAATTATTTCTTTATTTGCCTCCCATATCCAGCCATAGTGTTAAAATGGCTGGGTTATTTGGGCTGAGTGGACTGGTTTATTTGGGCTGAGTGGTATCACATTTTTTTCTTCTCCTATGCCATTATTTTAGACCATTTGCAGAATTCAGAAGGCATCAGATGGTCAGATTATAATGTGAGAGGGTTTTTTTTAAGGATTTTATTCCTGAGTAGAAACATTTTAAATGTGGTAGCTGTGGAAAGGATGTAGCTGTATGCTGCTGTAGAAAAGAAACTTAAGCTATGCCTGTGGTACAAAACACCTTCACTTCAGATGGTCTTGTGTCACATTCATTACTTTTTTCCAAGTTTGCTTCTAACATGGTCTGAATGTTTCCATGGGAAAAGTGGCTTCTCTTTAAACAGCTCTGCTTCTCCGGGCCTTCATTGTATCTGAGAGGCAAAAAGGCACCTAGACTGCTTTAAAAACAGACTAGGTATATGCAGTGTGTATATTGTATAAATTCTTCTCTTTTTCTTCTGACTGCATGATGACTGGATGGGTTTCCTTGCTTTACTTTGTGTCATCTATTTTATGGAGAATGGTGGCAACTGCTGTTCTTACACTCCTGTGTGACCTGTCCTTGGTTTCCAAGGAGAGCGCTCCCATGGATTTGCCCCTCACCAGTGGAGTTGCTTCCTTTCCCTTTGATGCCTGTATTGATTTTATTGACAGTGGTGTGTTGTTTGTTAAGTTACGCACATTCTAGCAAATGCTTTTGTCAGAGCCTATTCATATATTTAATATAGCAGAGTCCAATATTCCTCTTTAATTTCCTATAGGTATTGAAATCAGATAATTAAATAGCACAGGCTCTTAGTAATTAATGTCAGGTGATGATCATAGCTTTAGTCTTTAGGAATGATTTCAAGCCTAAATCTTTTAAGTATGTAATTAGTATGTCTATTCTTATTCTTTCACAATATATTGGGTTAATATAATTCTCTGTCTGAGCTGGCTTCTAAAACAAAATCCTGTGCTCCCATTGCCAAGTGATGAGGGAGTAAATCTGTCCTGATGGAAAGTGACTCTCAGTAGGTGCTGCTGTATGTGACAGTGATGCTGTGTTGCTGTTGGAACTCACAGTTTGCATATAGCTCTGGCTTGCTTGATGGATAGTGTGTATCCTTCTGGCTTGGCTCACAAGGTAAAAGTCAGACTAAGCTCAAGGCAGGGTTTTTTCTGCCTGACTACAATACCGCTGGCTAATTTTTCACTGCAGAATGGTTTTGAGGCACATCTGTCGGCCACTGACTGTTGGTGGATACAGTCTGGTCATAAGGTTAGTAGTGAAATTACTTTTGTAACTGGAATATCTTTGCAAATCAGCCCCAGTAAGATTACAATTGTAAAATCTCAAGTGATTAAATGGACATAGGAACTGCTGACTTTTCATATTTGATGGTTTTAAACTGATAGGGTAGACTTACATTGGACATTAGGAAGAATTTCTTCACTATGAGGGTGGTGAGGCCCTTCAGTATGAGGTTGCCCAGAGAAGCTGTGGCTGCCCCATCCCTGGCAGTGTTCAAGGCCAGGTTGGACCTTAGAGCACCCTGCTTTAGTGGAAGGTGTCCGCCCCTGCCTGTGGCAGGGGTTGGAACTGGATGCTTTAAGGTCCCTTCTAACCCAAGCCATTCTGTGATTCTATGATTCTGTGATTTTATGATGTTTTGGCATGTCAGTTCAGAAAACAGGCTTTACCTTTCCTTAGCAAATTTCTGTAGGTGGTGTGGATGTGAAAACCTCCTCTGACATCTGTATGATTAGTATGCATGAATTCAGGTCCACACGGGTCACTTTGGGAGCACAGGTAAAATACCTGTTAGTTCAGGGGCTGAGAGTCAGCAGAGCTGGAGTTTCTAATGTTACATGGGGACGTTGGGGACTTTGTCATACAAACCTCAGTGCGCAGAAGGAATAAATGTGGTCTCAGGAACCTGTGTTACCTAGCAGACCTCTGAAGCAGATTTCAGTAGCCAGTCTAGGAAAGGTACACATGGGATTTTTAACACTAATGCTACTGAGAAAACTTGGGCACTGTGCTGCTTCTGCTACCTCAGTGCATAAAAACAATCTTGTTATTCTTCCCAAGCATGGCTTCATGACTTGTCAAGATGAGGGTGTGTGCTCCCACCAGTGCTGACCGGGGAATTTATTTACCCTGCTCATGTTACTACCTGTTCTTCAAATAGCATAGTGAGGTAGCATTAACTGTTGGAGAAGAGAGCTTTTTACTTTAATGAGCTGAGTGTGCATGCTACTAGTACTTCTATGCCTTTCCAACTTAACCCAGGTGACGAACTTGTCATCTGTCCTCTAGCAAGCCACAAAGGAAAGTTCTACATCAAATGCTGGTAGAGCTTTACATGTTATGTCAGCTCTGGAACACCTTGCTGAAAGCCAGCTCAACTCTGTAACCTATTTTAGCAGGTTTACTATACTGGACTGTCAGATTTAAAATAATGTTGCTGTGATGAGCTAGTCCTCCATCCTTTCAGTCTGGCACCTGGAGATTCCTCAAGTGACATTTCCCCAGGGATTACTTCATGAAGAAGGATGGGGATGGGTATGCATTTCTTAAGTAATGGCATGCCTTACTCTTGGGAAACCTGTGAAGGA